ATCATCTAGTTCTCCAAAGACATAACTAGGGTTGCCAAGTCAGTTCATGCTGTTGCAAGTATCAATTGAAGTTGCTCAGAGTAAGCCAAACACACCAATGATAACAAAGTAGAAAAAAGTAGGAGCCCCCGGTGGTGCAGTGGGTTAAACCACTGAGCTGCTGAGCTTGTTGACCAAAAGTTCACAGGTTCTAATTCAGGGAGTAGCGTGAGCTTCCGCTGTCACCTCCAGCTTCTGCCAACCTAGCAGTTTGAAAACATGCAAATGTGAATAGATCAATAGGTACCGTTCCGGCGGGCACTCCATGCAGTCATGCCGGCCACATGAACTTGGAGATGTCTACGGACAATGCCGGCTCTTCAGCTTAGAAATGGAGATGAGCACCACACCCCAGAGTTGGACACGACTGGATTTAATGTCAGAGGACAATCTTTACCTTTACCTAGAAAAAAGATAAATACACAGTTTTCAAGACAATCCTTTTATCCTGGAAATCCTCCAGCTCATCAAAGGAGCAGAGAAAAGGATTCACACACTGAGACTCAGGGCAAGATCCTAAGGCCCCCTCTACACTGTCAAATAATACAGTCAAAGGAGATAATCCTGTGTTCATTTTTGCCCACCTTCCGAAAATGGGCATGATTCCTAATGGGGATTTTCGTTCCGTGAACAAAAATAGAAATATTTTTGACCCATTGGCAACAACTGGTGGACTTCCCCAGGTAATCCTTCCCCTCAGTTTTAGGGCTAGAGGGGTGAAAATCACCAGACTTGGAGGGCACATCAACCACTCTTATCACTCCAAGTTTTATAATGTTTGAGTCATCCCCCAATTTTTAGGATTTTTTTTCCTATTCACACAGCCCAGTGCCCAGCCCCATTATTATATAAGGGGTTTATATATCTGTGGAATGACCAGGGTGGGACAAAGGACTGTTCTCTGCTGGAGCTAGGTGTGAATGTTTCAACTGACCACCTTGATTAGCATATAATGGCCTGACAGTGCCTGGAGCAAACTTTTGTTGAGAGGTGATTAGATGTCCTTGTTTGTTTCCTCTCTGTTGCTGTGCTATTGCAATTTTAGAGTTTTTTAATACTGGTAGCCAGATTTTGTTCATTTTCATGGTTTCCTCCTTTCTGTTGAAATTGTCCACATGCTTGTGTATTTCAATGGCTTCTGCATGTAGTCTGACATGGTGGTTGTGAGAGTGGTCCAGCACTTCTGTGTTCTCAAATAATATTCTGTGTCCAGGCTGGTTCATCAGGTGCTCTGCTATGGCTGACTTCTCTGGTTGAAGTAGTCTGCAGTGCCTTTCATGTTCCTTGATTCGTGTTTGGGCGCTGCATTTGGTGGTCCCTATGTCCACAGCTGCATGGTATACGGTAGACTCCTGCAGAAGTGGGAGGATCCCTCTTGTCCTTTGCTGAAGATATCATTTGTTGGATTTTCTTATGGGCCTGTAGATAGTTTGTATATTTTGTTTCCTCATCAGCTTCCCTATGAAGTCAGTGGTTCCCTTGATGTATGGCAAGAACACTTTTCCTCTGGGTGGATCTTTGTCGTGGCTTGTTCTCGGTCTTGCAGCTCTTCTGATGTCTGAGGCTACCGTATACCATGCAGCTGTGGACAAGTCTACATAGGGACCACCAAACGCAGCATTGCCCAATCACGAATCAAGGAACATGAAAGGCACTGCAGACTACTTCAACCAGAGAAGTCAGCCATAGCAGAGCACCTGATGAACCAACCTGGACACAGCATTTTATTTGAGAACACAGAAATGCTGGACCACTCTCACAACCACCATGTCAGACTACACAGAGAAGCCATTGAAATAACAAGCATGTGGACAATTTCAACAGAAAGGAGGAAACCATGAAAATGAACAAAATCTGGCTACCAGTATTAAAAAACTCTCAAATTACAACAGCACAGCAACAGAGAGTAAACAATCAGGCACATCAAATCACTCTCAACAAAAGATTCCCCCCAGGTACTTCCAAGCCATTAAATGCTAATCAAGGTGGCACCACAATTCAAGAGAGATATTGACACTTACTTACTTAAGCGATCCCTCGTTGGATGAGTAAGATGGTCTTCCTTGATGACTATTTTTTGTGGGTTTGTAGGTGGCTGTGCAGCCCTATTCTTGACCCGCATCTTCTCCCACAGTGAAGGCATTGGTTTCCAGGTGGAAGGCAGTCCTGGTCAGGGTTGGCTTGACGTGCCTTCCCTACAACTCCCAAACTCAAGGTCATTGCCCACCAAACCCTTCTAGTGTTTTCGTTGGTCATGGGAGTTTTGTGTGCCACATTTGGTTCAATTTCATCATTGGTGGAGTTCAGAATGCTCTTTGATTGTAAGTATAACTATAAATCCCAGCAACTACAACTCCCAAATGACAAAATCAATTTTTTTTGAGTGATGGTCACTCATTGGGTTAGTTGGTGTAAAATTTGGCAGCAATTCGTCAAATGGTTTTTGAGTTATGTTAATCCCACAAACGAACATTACATTTTTATTTATATAGACTAGCTGTACCCGCCACACGTTGCTGTGGCCAACCTTCCCTCCTACTTTCTCTCCTTCTTTCTTTCTCTCCTTCCTTCCCTTTTCCTTCCCTTTCTCTTTCTTCCTTCTCTGCCTCTTTCCTTCCTTCCTTTGCTTTTTGCTTCCATCCTTCCTTTTGTCTTTCCTTCCCTCCCTTTCTCTTTCTTTCCCTGTTTCCTTTGCTCCTTCTTTCCTTCCTTTCCTTTTTTTCTTTCCTTCTCTCCTTCCTTCTTTCTCTACCCATTTCTTTCCATCCCTCTTCTTTTCCTTTTTCTCTTCTTTCTTCCTTCTCTACCTCTTTCCTTCCTTCCTTCGCTCTTTGCTTCCTTCCTTCTTTCTTTTCCCCTCCTTCCATCCCTCTTTCTTCCCTTTTTTCTGTGTTGTCATTTATTGTTGCCATAATCTTTGGGGGGGGGGGGTTAAGTCCTTTCCAGTTTTTTTTGGGGGGGGGGGGTTATGAATGATGGACACTCATTGATCTGTTAGGAGTGCTGTGTCCAAATTTAGTGTCAATTCGTCCAGTGCTTTTTGAGTTCTGTTAATCCCACAAACGAACACTACATTTTTATATATATAGACTAGCCGTCCCCTGGCACGTGTTGCTGTGGCCCACATGGGGGTTCTGTGTGGGAGGTTTGGCCCAATTCTATCATTGGTGGGGCTCAGAATGCTCTGTGATTGAACTATAAATCCCAGCAACTACAACTCCCAAATGTCAAGATTCTATTTTCCCCAAACTCCCAGTGTTCACATTTGGGCATATTGAGTATTTGTGTCGAGTTTGGTCCAGATCCATCATTGTTTGAGTCCACAGTGCTCTCTGGATGTAGGTGAACTACAACTCCAAAACCAAAGGACACTGCCCACCAAACCCTTCCAGTATTTTCTGTTGGTCATGGGAGAACTGTGTGCCAAGTTTGGTTCAATTCCATCGTTGGTGGGGTTCAGAATGCTCTTTGATTGTAGGTGAACTATAAATCCCAGCAACTACAACTTCCAAATGACAAAATCATTTTTTTGAGTGAAGGACATACATTGGGTTGTTAGGTGTCTTGTGTCCAAATTTGGTGTCAATTCTTCCAGTGGTTTTTGAGTTCTGTTAATCCCACAAACAAACATTACATTTTTATTTATATAGATTATTTCTTAGAAGAAAGAGACCAGATTAGCTGAGAATAGGTTTTTGTTTTTTTTAATTGCAATAGTCAAATGCGTCACAGCACAAAGTCATCGTGGTGACGCGGTCATCTCCTTGGGTGTATTGGCACTTCTCCCCCGGCAGAGTGCAGCCTTTTCTGACGTAAAGCATTTCGCCAGCTATAGTGAGTAGAAAGTAGGATCAAATGTCATATGGAGAAATCACAGCACCATTTGGAGATCAAGCAGAGCAAAATCAGCTTGGGAAAAGTTATCACCCAGCTAGGATTCTGGTTTCCCTGGACACGTCTTTTTTAAATGCCAACATTTATGACAACTTTATATCTTAGTGAGAGTTGTCATTGTGACTGGTGGCTTGAAGCAACTACTTGGTCAATTTTTCTCTTTTTTATTTTTTGGCTTTTCAAAACATGGTAAAATAATAATAATAATAATTCATCAATAATAAAAAACATCAATCAAGGGGCTGTATCTGGTGAGCTTGGGGGTGGGGATAGAATCATAGAATCAAAGAGTTGGAAGAGACCTCATGGGCCATCCAGTCCAACCCCCTGCCAAGAAGCAGGAATATTGCATTCAAATCACCCCTGACAGATGGCCATCCAGCTTCTGTTTAAAAGCTTCCAAAGAAGGAGCCTCCACCACACTCCGGGGCAGAGAGTTCCACTGCTGAACGGCTCTCACAGTCAGGAAGTTCTTCCTCATGTTCAGATGGAATTCTCCTTTCTTGTAGTTTGAAGCCATTGTTCTGTGTCCTAGTCTCCAGGGCAGCAGAAAACAAGCTTGCTCCCTCCTCCCTATGACTTCCTCTCACATATTTATACATGCCTATCATGATCTCCTCTCAGCCTTCTCTTCTTCATCTTTTCTTCTTTTCATCACCCTATCCTCCATCTTCCCCTGTCTCTTCTTTCTCCCCTTTCATTCCTTCTTTCTTTCCCCCTTTCTTTTTTCCTTTCTTCTTCCTTCCCCCACTTTTTCCCTCTTTCCTCCCTCACTTTTCTCCCTTGCCCAACACCCCTTTTCCTTTCTTCTTTTCTTCCTCTTCTTTCTCCCTTCCTTCCCTCTCCTTTCCTTCCTTGCTGCCCTCTTCCCCCCTTTCCTTTCTTCCTTCACGCTCTTCCCCTTCCTTCCCTTTCTTCATTCTTTCCTCTCTTCCCCCCTCTCTTCCCTTTCCCTTTCCCTTCCCTTTCTCCTTTTTTCTTTGCACATCAAGCATCTTCTTCCCTTCTCTGTAAGCTCTGGTCATTCCCATGGCATCCCATAATGTTCGCTTCCTCTTGTGCAGATCTCCCTCCAGTACGAGAAAGATGGGGAGTTCCGCCACACTTGCGGGGGGTCCCTCATCGCCCCCCAATGGGTCATGACTGCCGCCCACTGCATCTCGTAAGTCTCCCAACAACATATCTCCCTACAAGTATAGACCAGTCCCTGAGTTGCAAACATCCGACTTACAAATGACTGATAGTTAAGAATGGGGCAAAGACAACAGGAAGTGAGAGATCTCCCTGTCGGAAGGGAAACCGAGGCCAATGTTTCAGATTCCTGTGCTCATTCCCAAGCAACAGGGGAAAGTGAAAGTCCTTGGGTTTATGGGGAGTTTTCCCAGGAAACTAGATTAGGCCTGAGAACAGAGGGAGTACACTAACTAAATATTCTCACAAAATTAATGGGAACATCTTGAAGTCCAGGTGTGTTCGGCATGATGTCATGGGTGTTTGGATGGACTTAAATTTAATAGTTTTTATCTGCTTTCTTTAATAAAGATTTTTAGATTGAATTACTGGACTCTGGTGTGGTGCTGGGTGAAAAAGTTCTAGAGTGCAACACACTATAAGGATGTTCACCCTTCCCTATGCTATATGGCTGAAATTACACTTAAAAATGTCCCTGTTCTGACTTACAAATTCAGTTTAAGAACAAAACTACAGAACCTCTGTCGTTCATAACTTTGGGAGTGCCTGTACTGGGTAGCAAATAATAATAATAATAATAATAATAATAATAATAATAATAATAATCTGTTTCCAGCAAATCCCGCAAATATAAGGTTGTCCTGGGCGAATACGACATGAGCAAGGAGGACGGGTCTGAGCAACACATCCCCATCAATGAAGGTGATCTTTTTGTTCACCCGCGATGGATCTCCATCTGTGCGGCTTGTGGGTAAGAGCCACAATTATTTGAGCCAAGGCGAAGGGGATTGGAAGACACTGCTTTTGTGGAGCTCCCTCCCTGCCTCATGGGTCTCAAAGATTTGCTGGCCTCAGGCGGCACTATGTCTGGGGACGGCCTCCAGTACGTAATGGTGACTTGTCTTGTCCGGCTTTCCTCCCAAAATCCCCAGCAACGACATTGCGCTCCTGAAGCTGTCTCGGCCTGCGGAGCTGAATGACGACGTTGAACTGGCTTGCCTTCCTCCAGCTGGAGAAATCCTTCCCAACGAGTATCCCTGCTATATCAGCGGATGGGGACGGCTTTATAGTATGTCACATCATCCTCCTCCTCATCATCATCATCACACTATATAATATCCATGTTGTTACATGGTGTTATGATTTGACCCTTCCTGCTTGACAATATGGGTCAGACTGGATGGCCCTTGGGGGTCCCTTCCAACTCTAGGATCCTATGTTTCTATTGCAGCCAATGGCCCGCTTCCAGATAAACTGCAGCAAGCTGTACTCCCCGTCGTGGACAATGAGCATTGCAACCAGAAGGACTGGTGGGGAGGCGTCATCCGACAGAGCATGATCTGTGCCGGAGGAGACATCCGGGCCGGATGCAACGTAAGTTCCAAACTTAAGAGTACAGAAGAAACGGCAATGTCTGCACCCAGGAAGCTAGCAAGACCGGCTCTACCAATACATCCAGTTCCTTCCAAGTTCAGGCTCAAACCTAGAGCAAATTCAGCAGGATGACCCTTCCTTTTAGGCATCTTTTGCCTTACTGTTGAGGCACAGTACTCAAATAGCTCTACTCTATTCCCAATCAGGAACTAGAAATGAGGAGATCAAACTACAATAGTGTAGTCTGCAGAATCACTCTTTGAGCTTCTTTTTCTCTTTTCCCTTTCTCCTCCCCTCCTTTCCTTCAGAAAATACTTCTAAAAGATAATTACGACACGGAGCTATCTTACCTTGGGCTTCCTTAAAAAAGCCCTCTCTTTTCTCTTCTTGTATTATTATTAATAATAGTAATCTTCTCACCTCATTCTCAGAAAACTACTACCAGCTAGTTACCATTCTTCTAGAAACAGCTTTAAGGAAGCAATAAACCTGAAGAAGAAAGGTGTGAGTGGCAAAAAGGCACCACTTCAGTGCAAATCAGGAGAAAAGAGAAGGCCTTTTTAAGGAAGCCCAGAGAGATAGCTCCAGGTTGATTACTCTTTCTTTCCTAGGAAGTGGGAAGCTTCCTTCAAAGGGGGGATGAGCAGACAGATGAGAGAGTGTGCGTGCCTTCAGGGTCTGTCTCCTCTAGAGTAAAAACAGCTTTAATAAATCATTAAACCCGATCTTCTCTACAGACAGAAGGGAAAGGATCGCAGAAAGTGTGGTATCTTAACTCGGATGCTTTTCATCCAGGCCTTAGTGAATAATAAAAGGACAAATGATGCCTAAAATGACAGAAAGGGGAGCCTGGGAAGGTGTGCAAAAACGGATATGAGGGTCTACCAGAATCCGGTCAGCTGGAACGGATCGAGGTTCAGCTGAAATGCACAAGCCTACTGTTAAGTCATTCCAATCTTCATCACCTTTCGCTCATGTCTTTCCCTTGGTGCTCCTTCCAAATTCGTGCACTCTTCATTCTCATGTCATCCCTCTTCTTTGGCCAGTTCATTCTGCTATCTCTTTCTCGTAAAACTCACTTTGCTCTTTTCGTTACTTTCAGGGCGACTCCGGAGGTCCCTTGAACTGCCAGGCCACCGACGGCAAGTGGTACGTTCACGGCATCGCTAGCTTCGTCTCCGCTCTGGGCTGCAATGCCTTGAAGAAGCCCACTGTCTTCACCCGGGTCTCCGATTTCGACGCCTGGATCCAGGAGGTATGCTCGAAAAGCACAGAACGGTCACAACTGGGCCATCCAGAGGTCATCTAGCCCTCTGGATCTTATCTGACACTTGGATACGTCCTTTTTTTGGCTTGCTGATGCAATAGGCATTTGTGAAAAGTGTGTGCTTGTGTCCATCAGTTTTCCAAATCCCGCGTCTTCACTGTTTTGCACAAAATGCCCTCTTAATGCATTGAAATCATATCCCATCTCGTTTTTTTTTTCTTCCAGACCATCGCGAAAAATTAGCGATGACCCGGCCACCTTCCAGAAGGATCTCCTTTGTTCCAAAAATAAATGCTGAGACATATAGAAAAAAGACCCTGCTGGTGTTTTCATTTCGTATTTTCGTCTTTTCATTTCGTCTTTTCGTTTCGTATTTTCATGTTTTTATTTCGTATTTTCATTTCATATTTTCGTATTTTCATTTCGTATTTTAGTGTTTTTATTTCGTGTTTTGTGTTTTCATTTCGTATTTTTGTATTTTCATTTTGTATTTTCGTTTCGTATTTTCATGTTTTGTTTCGTATTTTCGTGTTTTCATTTCGTGTTTTTGTGTTTTCATTTCGTATTTTCGTGTTTTTATTTCGTATTTACATGTTTTCATTTCGTGTTTTTGTGTTTTCATTTCGTGTTTTTGTTTTCATTTCGTATTTTTGTGTTTTTATTTCGTATTTTCATTTCGTAGTTTCATTTCATGTTTTTGTTTTCATTTTGTATTTTCATGTTTTTATGACGTATTTTCGTGTTTTCATTTCGTATTTTTATTTTGTATTTTCGTGTTTTCATTTCGTGTTTTTGTGTTTTTATTTCGTATTTTCGTGTTTTCATTTCGTATTTTCATGTTTTCTTTTTGTGTTTTTGTATTTTCATTTCGTATTTTTGTGTTTTTATTTCGTATTTTCATTTCGTAGTTTCATGTTTTTGTGTTTTCATTTCGTATTTTCGTGTTTTTATGACGTATTTTCGTGTTTTCATTTCATATTTTTGTGTTTTCATGTTTTCATTTTGTATTTTTCTGTTTTCATTTCGTATTTTCGACGTGTTTTCATTTCGTATTTTCATTTCATATTTTTGTGTTTTCATTTCATATTTTCGTGTTCTATTTTTCTAAAATACAGCCATTCAATATTACTAGGTGCCATAGAAACATTTCACCAACAGAGGGCAGCAGTAGGGAGTGGATGCTTTTAAAGAGACTCTGCTTTGATTTCTCTTTCTCTTATAGAGCACTAGCTTGGGTACTTAGTATTTGAAAAAGTGAATATCTTAATTGTACCAAAATGCATAAGGTTGTGGGTGAACTACAACTCCCACCATGCCGGGTTAACCCCCTGAAACTCCACCAATACTTAAAGTTTATGTTGGGAAGTTTGCTCTAGATGTATCATGGGTAGGCTTCAGTGTGCTCTCTGGCTGCAGGGTAAACTACAACTCCCACTACGGTGAGTCAGTCCCCTCAAACCCCTCCAGTAGGTTGGGTTAATCATGGGGGTTCTGTGTGGCAAGTTTGGGCTAGGTCCATCATCCGTAGAGGTCACAGTTTATCTGGTTGTAGGTGAACTACAACTCCCAGAAAGGAAGGTCCGTTCCTCACAAACCCCTCCAGTATTCAAATTTGGACATATTGGGTATGCATGCCAAGTTTGGTCCAGGTCCATCATTGTTTGGGTTCACAGTGATCTGTAGGTGTAGTTGTACTACAACTCCCCCATGTCAAGGTCAATTTTCCCCAAAGACCTCCAGTGTTTTTTGCTGGTTATGGGAGTTTTGTGTGACAAGTTTGGTCCAATTCCCTCTTTGGTGGAGTTCAGAGTTCTCATTGATTGATTGCAGGCGAACTATACATCCCAGGACCTACAACTCCCAAATGTCCAGGCCAATTCCCTTCCAAACCCACCAGTATTCAAATATGGGCATATTGGGTTTGCATGCCAAGTTTGGTCATATTCCCTTGTTGTTTGGGTTCATGGTGTGCTCTGGGTGTAAGTGAACTACAACTCACTGATTCGTTTCTCCAATCAACTTTGCTCCACTTCAAAGAAATCAAAACAAGCCCCAAATAGGGCCAGCTTTAAAAAGGCCTTTACGACTCCCTTGCCGCCCTAAGTGTTTGCCTTGAGTCCTCCTGACCCCGTGCTTTATTTCTTTATGGGGAGGGCACATGATGCCACTCTACATTTCGCCTTTGCCCCGATGGTAGCAACTCCCTTGTCCTCAAGAGAAGGTCAGCGGTTCAGACCAAGGAGTCTGAAAAGATATCCCATTACGGTCTGCGTGGCTTAGCTTTTGCGAGCCGAGCGATGGAAGGACGAAGGAGGGAGATGGGGAGCGAAACCAGGACATTTTAAGTGCCACGAGACAAGAGGGAAGGCATAGACTCAGAGTGTTGGAAGGGACCCCAGAGGCCACCCAGTCCAACCCCCTTCTGCCAGGCAGAAAGACAGAATTACTATTATATTATTATCTATTATTATCTATTTGTATTATTATTATTATTACTACTACTGCTACTACTATTATTCTTGAGTTGGAAGGGACCCCAAGGGTCATCTAGTCCAGCCCCCTTCTGCCAGGCAGAAAGACAGAATTACTATTATA